TTACGTATGCAAGAACATAACACGCCTCCGCCGTGTGCGTGAGCGTTTACGAGCGAAAGCGCGCGCGGAACGTGCAGACGATTAGAAAGTAGAATGTAGTTCTTAGTCTCCGACACCTGGTAATTAGGTGTAGCCCGCTCAGGTGGACTGATCAGTACGTGTTAGTATAGTAGCTGAACAGTAGCGGCTTGATGACATCGCCTAGTTTGCATGCGCCGTGTCGCAGAATGGAGGTGTGCCCGATAAACTGCTGTTATGCATGTTCTGCTAGCATCTATGACAAATACGACATACGCATATACGCTCTCCTTTGGCACTATATTTGTCATATGAAGATTCTTCCTATGACAAATATTGGCGAGCCAACTTCGTTCCGCTTTACACCTGAAATTCACTGCTTGCGTTCATAATAGCGCTCCTAAACTCCTATGATGCGCACAACACATACAACAATAGGAATCTTCCTATGACAAAATAATAGTGTCATAGGAGAGCGTATATGCGTATGTTGTATTTGTCATAGATGCTAGCAGAACAGGCCGGATAAACGCACGCGTGACGTCACCGGTCATAGCGGCAGCGGCACCACCTGATATAGGAAGACGAGAGCTGTTACACACTCATCGGTTCAAACGTTTATTACACTGACCGATGACACTTGCGTTCACTTCTGTTTAAACATCGTTACAGCCATTTCGTTGCTCGTGATGCTTCTTTGATGGGGCCGTGTGGGTTACCACACCGCTTTCAGTTCCTTTTTACACACCCGTTTGTGTCGAATAAAAGATATATCGCTTGTCAAGAGAAACCATCGATGCAAAAGTAGCGCTAATAAAATTTAAATCTCCCAATAGATGGCGACATGTGTAGCATATGATGTATACAGCTGTGTACCACTGATTTCTACACACTGAATGTTAAAATTATGCTAACTACTTCTGTACTAACTATATTTTCCGTATTCAAAGATCAGTGCTGTGTACGGTACCTAGCCTTTATTAAATGATTTAAACAGAATTTTCTCGAAATTGTTTTTATAATTAAGAGCGTATATGCCCACCAGTCACTTTAATATTCATATTGTATCTAGTCGTATAAAATTTCCCTGAAACATTGGGGGAGAGCTGTGTTCGCGCACAACCAGTATCTGCCACATTATTAAAAAATTATATTTTGAAAATGGAGAGCAAATAACTTTCTCAGTAACTAGACATTAACATGGATTTCGATGTTTCTCTTCAATAATGTTAGGATACCCAGTTTCTCCCGTTATAACATAGCACTAATAAAATTAAATTCTGTGTGTGTTAAATTCATTCATAATGTGTGTCCTACATGACGTAGGCAACTGTATATCCAACCTGTTATCCAATACATTAAACAGTATTTTGTTGAAATTATTCGTTTAATTTATATAGCGAATACTCCACTGTTATAACAATAAGATGTCTATTCGTACTAAATATCTTTGCAAAATAGCAGAAAACCTGTGTCCCACGTGCCTAGAATATGCCAACCAGAATTTATCTTGTTAAAATTATACCGTAGAGAAAAGATTAATACAATTACTAATCGCAGTAACTTCGAATAAAAATTAAGTCCCGATATCTCATTCATTTTTCCGGAATGACGTATTATTATAAATGATATTTTAAGCAACCAATCGATGGCGATATGTGTGCCTACAACCCACATGCTGTGTATTCCGCCTTTATCAAATATAAATGTGCTTCGTTAAAATTACACCTAGCATAGAGATCGAACGCATACCTACAGTAGCGTGATTTGAATGATCTCCATCCCAATCTGTCGCTTTAACAATCATAGATACCATGGTCGTATCTAATTTTCCTGTTTCATAGCGGGAGTCGTATGTTTCGCGTATTCCCAGTAATTTCCAAACAGAATGGTACTTTGTTAAAACTTTACTTTAATAAATGAGAGCGCATGCATACTGATCGCAGTAGCTTGACAAGAAAAGTAAACCCCGGGGAGAATAGGAGGTTAATATAAATGGTAGAGAGTCAAGATATCCTGGCTGACATAATGCTAATAAATTTATAAATCAGCCAATAGATGGCAACATGTGTCGGACATCACGAAAGCAGCTGTGTCCAACCTTTATAGGTGTTGAACAACAGTAGAGGGCGTTCATAGGCGGCAGGCACGAATAAGCATCGAACAGAAATTCATTTAAAATACTTACACTATTACTTCACGTACAAAACATATACTTTATTCATGTTAAATAACTACAGATTCATGCTCTATGCTCCGCTCGAAACTTTTGCCAGCTCTATGACGCGAATTTCTGCAAAGTTGTCTGAACACATTTCATACACGAAAATCACCAGCCGGTCGCTGCGGCTACGCCACCTGACGGAATGTCACGAGTACACAACAAGACCAATTTTACTTCTAATGCTTTGTAGACGTCCACGAGGCATCTAACTTGCGGGCATAATACAAATTATTGCAATCTAGTGCTGAATTTTAGCGAAAAAAAGAGCCAAAAAAAGACTTTTTCTAGAGACGAAATAGTGCAACGGTGAACAATTGCGGAGGCCTACTGTTGTACGCCACCTTAATGAGCAGAGGAGATACGTATCGACTTAAAATTTTAGATTAATAATTTAAAGCCTTTTCCTTATAGGGCTACCGAATCTAAAATGTGTCATAACGCCAGTAGCTGAAATATCACTCTCTGAAATGAGCCCCCAAAACACAGAAATCAATGAAAATTTATGTTCACTTCATGCCGTTAAACGCAGTGTTAGAACAAGGGTTAGGGTGAATTGCAACCAACCAAGTTAAGATATTTTGATACTGTTCGTGTTAGGAGTGCCAAAATAGAGTGAAACAAGGATAATTATCTATTTTCTGGTATCAAATGAGTGCAAAATGAGTGTATTTTAATGTAGATATGTGAATATCATGTACATTATGTACACGGATATGTACATGTTTACATAAAATACATGTTTAAATGTTATTCGAACATGCATGTGTCTAAAAATCATGCTAGAGCACTTGCATAACTGATTTTCATTAACATAACACTCAATTGTTCGATTTCTTTGGCAGAACAGCTCTCCTTACCAGGTGGTTAAAGGTGTTGAACAACAGTAGAGGGCGTCTATAGGCAGCAGGCCTGAATAAGCATCGAACAGAATTTAATTTAAAATACTCACACTGTTACTGCACTTACAAAACATACACTTTATTCATGTTAAATAACTACAAATTCATGCTCTATGCTCCGCTCGAAACTTTTGCCAGAAAGATTCCACAGTTATACTTCCGTGCTAGACATGGCCTTATTTCCCTAACCCTAACCCTAACCCTAATCCTAACCCTAACTCTAACCCTAACCCTAACCCTAACACTGACCCTAACCCTAATCGTAACACAAGTGCAGCCACATCACGTGACCGTCCATCTACGCCCGGGGGAAAGTGTTTCCCTTTATATTAAATAAACGAAATGGGATCTTTCTAAAATTTTATCTTTAACTTAGTGAGAGTACGTTGTCACCAGTAGTTTGAAATAAAGAATTGCTATCATCTATTCCACTGCATTTTCTTTTAGTTTGCATTTAATAAAGGCGCAAGGACCCTGCCACACGTGACTGTAGCGGAGAACTGCACCATGTTTATGGGGCGGCGCCCTATTACCTCTACTCCTGCCTCTATTATATCCCCGTGTGTGTAGTGAAGGCGTAGACTATCTTGACGGGACACAGATATCCGCTGCCACTAGCCCGTGTGGGTTCGACAAGCTTATCACCCGATGCCAATAAGCTATAAAGTTAGCAATGAGGCTCGTTGTGTTGCAACGCATGGCGGGTCGTTTCATTGCATCTTAATGAATTCCATTGCGCACCATTACTACATGCACCGAATTGATTGCATTGCATAGCGGAGCGTTGCTTTGCAGCGTATTGCATTGCCTATTATATATATTTGATATTTGATATTATTGATGAATATTATTGTCCTATAACAGAAACTTGATGGTCCCGGGAGATATACCACGTGCGGTACTTTGCGTTTATAATGACCGATGTCGTCATGCTGCCGACGGACGTCCGGAGCCCCACGCATCTACCGATCTACCGCCGACCACTCGCGGTAAAAAAACCCGACTACACAACATGTAAAGAAGCCGCTAAGTTCGCGTGTTGACACGCCCGTCTGCCTTACATAATACAAGACGCCGTGTGCCGCTCCACGGCTAAACACACTACACACACACACACACACATATATTATACACATATATGCAGCGTTAGGTGTTAGGTGCAGAGCACGTGACATCAAATATCATAAATGCAATGAGATATAAATGTTGTTGTTGATCCCTGAGCGGCGCTGCCATGCACCAAGCATAAATACTATTTCAGGATAACAATGCCGGCTGCCATATACGGAAAAACGTTAGAAGCAGTGGACGCAGACATTATATATATATATAAACGTAAACGTCAATATGAACGTATTTACAGTAAATCACCAAGCGTGTGATAAAAAAAAAACTGCCGAAAAACTCAACTACGAGATACCCTGCGGATGCCCTTAATAATTTTCCCGGTAGATGTTACTTTACTACTCAGCGGGGCCTTAGTATATTATCAGGAGTGAATAATAGAGATTCTATTATTCTATTATCTACTATATTATCTATTTTATTATGTATTATAGAGAATCTCTATTATTCACTCCCAATATTATGTATGGGATAAAAGCGAATAGCGACGTGGGTGATTGAATGTTTAAGATAATATTTGGGTTCAACTATACCAAGTTACATCAAATATGTATACAATGCAATACAATAGTATGTAGAATTCTACTTGTCGTATTTTGCGTGTTTTGCTATGTTTTAGCGTGTTACGGTAACGCTCCCTCTCTGATGTTTACAGCTGATTTGATATTACGGGTGACAATTATTGTTTAATATTGACATCTACATCTCTCTTTCTTCCTCTCTTCTTCTATCACTCACTCTATGCGTGGTGTGTGTCGTCAGTGCGTACGCGGCATCGTATGGCTACAACAATGGCTGCCTGCCCTGCCGCGGATACAAGTCGCATTTCCCGTGCACACCGATAGGTAACCACTGCAGGTACGGAGTCGACCCGAACCTGTGCGGATGCTGCCCGGTCTGCGCTAAGGTAACCATGACTACTCTCACGTGTACATGGTCGCTATATACCATTACTACTCTATATACATAGCTATACACCATAGCTACTCTATACATAGCTAGACACCATAGCTACTCTCGCGTGTACATGGTCGCTAAGCTATAGCCATAACTACTCTCACGTGTTGGCTGCCACTGCAGTAATCATGGGAACGCTTATTATGACGTAGTTCTAAATCGGCAAGGTGACCCGGGGGAGGGGGGTACTCACCTTCTTTTAGGGTAGGGGTGCTTAACCTAAATGGGAAAATCGAGGGCAAGAGGTTGGCTCGACAGTGAAAACATGGGGCAAATGGATGGCTTGACAGTGAAAACATGGGACAAAAAATTTCTTGACACGGGACGAATTGCTCAATATCTTTTAGCCATTAGGAAAACAGGAGTTTAGCGGAGTATACTGACAATTGTTCGTCATGGCACCGTACACCACGCACGACACACACCACACAACACTACACACACACACACACACACACGCGGCGCGCGGCGGCGCAACGCACGCACGACACCGGCACCAACGCACGCACGTGTAGGTGATAGAATATATCGAACGTAGACAGTAGGACGTAACAGTTGTAGAAACTGTGACAACTACAGTTTTATTATAAATACGGAATAAAAAACAAGTGAGTTGCACGTAGCGATCAAGGTGTGCCGTCGTCTTCCGCGTTTCTACCAAAACCCGCCGTTTTTAAGCCGTCAGCATCTGCGTCCGCGACCTTTTTAGACTGTAAAATTAATTTATGAGCGCGTCGCGACTATTGCCCGATGGTACGCAGTTAGAATCGTCGGCGCATCATTGACGTTGCCTGCCATAATGATTGGCCGTTTGAGTAAACCGAGTCGGCCTTCTGTTGAAGTTAATGTGTTCGTACCATTCTAAATGTATTCCGTTTAGCGCTGACCTATATGTGTGCTCTTATTATGTAGGCTATTATAAAATATTTCCGTCGCGCGCTTCATTAAATGTGTGCTGCTTAATTATTGGGCTAATGTATGCTGGGTTCAATCGCCGGCGGTCTCCGAACATTTGCATTACTAACTGAGTGTGCCAAAATTCCCCTAATGTCTCTATCTCAACGCTAAAACGCCGTAGCGACCACACGCACGCTGTAACATACACATACAACACACGCAGCGCACAACACACCACCGCACACACACACACACACAGCACACAGCACACACCACACACCACCACACCACACACACAACACACACACACACCACACACACACAACACACACACACACACACATATATATCTATATATATTATATATATAGCACCATCTTATGGGCCATGTTGTTCCTATTCGGCAACATGTTGTTCCTACTCCATGTTGTTCCTATTGTATACGTTGTTTGTTGCGCAGGGACCGGGCACGCTGTGTGGCGGACCGAGGTCGGCATTCGGACTGTGTGGAACCAACCTGGAGTGTGTGGGAGCGGGAGACCTGAGCGCTCTATTCGGTGTCCCTGCACCGACACGGCGCCGACACCGGCACCTACACCGGACCCATACGCAGACTACGCTACCATGGTTTAACATCTCGAACCCGTGCATGGCGTGCGGTGTGCATGCGTGCGTGTACGCGTACGCACGTGCTTACGTGCGTGAGTGTGTGCGTCCGTGCGTGCATGCGCGAGTATGCGTACGTGCGTGCATGTATGCGAGCGTGTATGCGTGCGTACGTGCGTGCGTACGGACGGGAATTCGTGTGTGTGCGCGTGCCTGCGTACGTGTCTGTACGTGCATCTGTGCGTGCTTTGTTAAGTTATAACTTTATAAGTGTAAAGATTAAATTTCATGGTTTTATAGTTTTCGTATTCGCTATTGTTGTTATTGCTATTATTGTTGTTACTGTTATTGCAATATTACATTGCTCTAAGCAAGGCTGATCATTGTTGTCTTTTTTAGATCAATATGGCATGTTTATGCATTTAACATATTAAACAAACTGTTGTATAAAAATATTCAAGTCTTTAATGTTTGCTAATTGGATATTATTGATTGATCGGTAGCATAATGCCCCTTACAATTGCATTTAAAAGTGACGTCACCGTCATTCACTGCATATCTATATACAGAATATTCACAAACATGATAATATACTCGAGAACGTGAAGCGATCTGATTATTGTTATTAAGTATGCAACCTATATAATGACACACGAGCACATATATATATATATATATATATATATATATATATATATATATATATATATATATATGTATAACATATGTATTATGTATATATATGTTATAATTATATGTTTTAATTATTTTATTTCTATGCCGTAGTTGTGAACGCGCATGACCATTGCGTTTTATTGATCAAAGAAATGTCGGTATATACGCGCTCCTTTCAGGGCGATGTCCCGTCAGACGGGACTTTGTAATAGCAAAAACCTATAAAATATCAACTTGCAAGCACAATCATATTCCATTGTATGCGCTTATATTCTAGACACCACAGTAAACGCAAACGATTGTCACAGATAACAAATTGCCATTAACAATATACGAAGCAAAATATAATGCGTTTAACCGTTTAGAAAATACACATTACTGCTAGTACAAGAACGGTAAGGCTGTCAGCACTATGCTAATAGTTTGCTGACACCTAACCAATGTATGATTGGGTTGGAAATGGTCTATATTTCAGGACGCGGTACGGGAGATTAGCGGTACGCATAATATTTGCTAAATATATTGACTATCGGTGCGTCAATAAACTCAATATTCAGCAGAAGTATAGGCTAAGACATGTGTCTAATAGCTATCTAGAATTTAGAAGATTTATATCATCTGTAATTCACTTCGCGCGGCGCAATATATTTTGCTAAATAATTGACTAATGCGTGGCGTCAATAAACTCAATAATTCACAGATAGTATAGTGAATTCAAGGCCGGTACGGGAGATGCATTTGCATAATATATTCTAGATAGCTCCTAGAACACTGTCTTAGGCTATACTCTCTGTGAATATTGAGTTTATTGACGCGCGATTAGTCCATATAGTTAGCAATATATGCGTACGGCGTAATCTCCGTAGCGCGGCCTGAATATAGACACTCCGATTGCGGGTTTGAGTATAAATACCAATTTAATACAAAACGCTATAATATCACTCACAAATCATATTCATTGTAATACTGCTAGTAGCAAGAACGGTAGGTGTCAGGCACTATCTAATAGTTCTGAAACCGACTTAACGCAATGTATGATTGGGTTGAAGTATAGAAATATCAATCTAATCAAAGTTTAAATCTGGAAACACTCGTATAGACAAGAAATCCTGTATGTGTTCTTATTGTGAAGGCATTATATTATATCGCAAATACACCATCTCTTTTAAAAGAACAGGATAAGGGGGTTTTTTTTTTTTTTTTTTTTTTTATCGGCGATGCTGGCATTTAATAAGTAAAGGTATGAGGTAGTTGTATATATATATATATATATATATATATATATATATATATATATATATATGCAGATTGCTGTGGCCAAACGCACTATCAATGAAACAGTATTTATTAAATTTAGGAGAGCACAAAATCCACACTAAGCTTGATATATATAATATA